ATGTTTTGGTTGACGAAAAAAAATTCTGCAATAATTCAGGAACCATCAACAAGAAAATCTAAACAATATTCTTAACATTTGTTCGGTCACCTTTCGCCTCCAACAGCAGCAATCCAAAGGTATACAAACAACTGGTCGTGCATATGAAAAGTAAAAATATAAAATATCATACGTTAATATATATAGTAGCATCCAATAAATCTGTCTACATACAGAATCGTATCCTCATACGTGTAGGAAAAAAAGTAGTATGCAAACTTTGGTTTTGTACCATATCAACTTTTCTTTAGTATCAATCCAAGATTATTTGTTAGAGCATACGCATTGGAGACAAATGTGGATGTCTTTAAATATAAAATTATTAAAATTTGAGTAAAAGGAAGAAAGAGAGTGTTTTTGGTTGAAATAATGGGGTGTATTGAAATATAAAATTAATAAAATTTGAGTAAAGAGAGGAGATAGTGGATATTGTTGGAGAGATTGTGTCTTTAGGAAGACATAAATAGTGACTTTTGGAGAGAGAATATGGATGTGTTTAAATATAAAATTAATAAAAGTTGAGTAAAATAATGAAAGAGAAGGTATAAAGTTGAGTAAAAAAAAGAGAGAGTGTGTTTTTAATATTTGTTTATTTAAAGACATCCACAAAAGATGACGAATGCGGATGGTCTTATAAGACATTAAGACTCTACCATATATAATTGTGAGATTGTATGCTGATAGTATTTTGTCAAAGAATAGAGTAAAATTACTTTTGTTTTGTACGAAGACGTTGAGGAAATGATATAAAATAAGGAATAAGGGTAGTATTATCATATCTTAAAATTAAAATATCAAGATACAACAACACAAGAAAGAAAGAGATTACAAAGCCACAAGACAAGCCTAGATATATAGCCATCTTTGCTTAAACTTATTTTGAATCATACGCTTCCTCCAAATGATGATTCAAGCAGTACTTCCCTTGACTCTGCAACAACACAAACCATTAAGAGTATGAGTTTGGCTTGATAGAATTAAGACATTAAGAAAACTAAAACATGCATGGTCTACGTCAAGTAAAAGGAACATAAGAGAGAATGCTATAAAGAAAAGGCTTACTTGTTGCAATCAAAGGTCAAGGTGATTGGATATGGAATGTGAACACCGCACTTAGCAGGAAGGGTAGCGGAAAGAGCTGCACTGATACCAGGAATGGTTTTTGACGCTGACTGTAGGCACCGACATGTTTGTTGGCGGTCCTCTGTGGACTGAGCCATGTTGTTCAAAGCATTGACTGATGCACAACACGCAGACGGTACGTCTCCACCACTGCCTGTTAGGTAGCTTGTACATGGGAACATAATAAGTTCCACTTCGAGACATGAGATGGATGCATCTACTGATGCAGCTATGCACACCGTCAAAACAAGGCATGTGAACAACTTCAAAGCAAACGCCATTATGTTTTCGGTGATTACAAAGATATGGAGAATTAATTGAGTTTTGTTTCTTAAGCTTGTGCTTTGCTGTTGGTTGTGAAAAATCTGGGAGGTGATAATGGGTTTAAATACAAGTAGCTAGGGTTTGTATCTAGTTGGATTTGCATATAGTCCACTCATTCCTTCTAGTTTTTTTTGTACTTATCCAGAATAATTTCAGTCATGTGTTACATTTTTCGTGATGTTTAAAAAAAAATTACATAAATAGGA